TTTTTATCTACGGTTATATGTTATCATTTATCTTAACTTTAGCTGTTCTCAATAACTTACATAATTTAAGATAATTTAATGTATGTATAATTTTTGATAAAGTTATGATACATTTACATAAATTTATATAAAAAAGTTTATTATAGAACATACTTTTATTATTTTTTATAACATTGCTATTCTACAAGAGAGACAGATATATTTAATTTTGCAATTAATAAAATCGTAGGAATTAATAAAATCAGATGGCTTAAAATGCAAAAATATTTATTCATTCAAAAATATGTTATAAAAAATTAAAATAAAACATCACAAATTATGATTAATATATTTACTATCGATTTGCGCAACGGCAATTCACCCGTACTTTTCGTCTTTAGCAGACACGGCATAGGCATTATTACATCGGCTTCTTTAACTATTTTCAATACTTCATACGTTATATCGTCATTCACATTGAATATTTTCGATATCCTGACCACTTTATCCACATCCTNATCCACATCCCCTCGTTTATAATGAGCATGAAAGAATTGCATGTCTGAATATTTGGAATTCGAGTCGTTTACACGGGCAGCACCTATGAAATCAAAGCCACCGTTGGTTCTTAAAATATCTTGTTTATGTACGAGATACTGATAAGCTTCGTCCATGTTGGATGTAGGTGATAGTGGCGTCGCAGTTTTGTTCTCGTAAGCCAAGTATAAGCCCTGCCAACCAATGTGGGTATGAAGATTTTTGCCGACTGGCAAATCAACAACGCTCTTTATTCCTACTTCGAGCAGATGTTGTTTAGGTCCGATACCGTAGAGCACTAATATTTGTGGACTGGCGATACTACCGATATAAAATCACCTCCTTTGACACTTTCACATCGACCGACTTATCGTCCTTTAACGTACTCCGACCACTGTCATTCCGTCCAGGAGAACGGCGTTGGATATTCTTCATCACGTAGAGATTCGTTCTACCTTTGATCGGCGAGAGGAAGGCTTTCGCCATGTTCACCCTGCGACTCTCATTCACAGGTCCTGTGGCCATGCCGTATCCAATGTATTTGTCACCATTGATATTCTCTAGAGTGGGCAAACATTCAGTTTATAAACAGCGTCCATAAACATTTTCTTTATACCTGTATCGCTGGAATTAAACTGTCTGATGGGCACCAGTCCACCATGGCCGCAATACGATCTTCCCGTCTCATCGCTATAATCATCATCGCAGGTCTGCGATGAGCGGGTTCACTTCATATTGCATAAGGAATTGCACATGAAAAAACTTAGCGAAAAGTGGATGCTGCATTTGCGCACACTTGAGCAAAAACAAATTCGCATGCGAACATCAGCCGACTGTTTGCAAGGGCTTAACACGTTGACTGCGGGGCCGAAAAAGTGCTACACACACTTAAGTAATATTTACTTAACACATTAACTGCCGGTCACGTGAGGATGTGTTGATAGTTAGAGCGCCGCTGAACGCGTGACTGACTACTTATACATCACCCCACACTCCGCGCTGGCGCGTGATTGTCTCTATAGCGTTGACGGCATATCACACATTGGCGCGGGGTCGGCAGCGAAAGTGTTAAGAAATGCGTTCCATGCATTGGTAAAGTGATGGCGACAGTTTTTTGGGATACGAAAGGAATTCTCCTGATAAACTACTTCGAGAAGCCGAAAACCATTACTGGAGAATAATATGCATAACTCTTGGATCGAATAAAGTGAACATGAAGAAACGTTGTGGCAAGAGCGTTGGAATTCGAGGGAACTACCTCGAGAAATAAAATATGTTACACAATTCAAATTGTTTCCTTTAATATCAAGCCAAGTTACTTATCAAACCACTTTCGTGTAGTAATATACTTTACGAAATAAAATATATGTTATTGAATTATTTGATAAAATAATGTATATAATGTTTGTACCCTCAACCCTTATAAAGTAAAATTTTCCAGTATAATAGTTCGTCATATATATATCACGACGAGATGTAGAAAATGAAACTTTAACTGTAAAGTTTCATATATATATATATATGATAAACAAACCGATAACATGTAACATAAATGTACTCTTTTCTATAATTCATGCGTGTTCTCCACAGCTGCCCAATCCTCCTTGNCTATCATTATCGTAGGTGCATTCGTGGGTCCACTAGTGATTGTTGGCATGATAGATGCATCGATGATTCTCAGACCTTGCATTCCGTGTACTCTTAATCTAGCGTCCACTACAGCCGTAGGATCGTTTCGTGGACCCATTTTAACGCTACCAACGGGATGATAGAACATGGTAGACAAATGTCGCAAGTGACATCTCCAATACTCATCCGAATCAGGTTCAGTGTGTCGACAACCCGGAATGTCTAAATAATATAGCCTTACTCCGCGTCGTGTAAATGTCTCGGTCTTCAGCATTTTCTTTATGAAGTCTAAGGCCTTCATCATCGTTTCAACATCTTCTTGCTGGGAGAAAGTGTTCGCATAGATCTTAACAGGAACCGCGGGATTCCTGCTACGTAGCCACAACTCACCCGAGCTCTTCGGTTTTATTAGACACGGCATGAATACTGCCATATCAAATTCCTGAAGCATTTTCAATACATTCTGCTTTATCTCCTCATCTGCTGGAAATACCTTCCATATTGTGTTCACATTATCTACATCCCACCGTGGATAGTGAAAGTGAAAAAACTGTATGTCGGGATATTTGGAGTTCGCATTATTTACATTGACATTACCTACAAAATTTAAGCCACCATTGGTTGCCAAAATACCTCGTTTATGTATCAGATATTGATAAGCTTCGTCCAATATAAATGTGGGCGATGGCGGTGTCGCGGTCTTGTTCTTGTAAGTTAAATGTAAACCTGGCCAACCGACATGATTTTGAAGATTTTTGCCAACTGACAAATCAACAATGTTTGGTATTCCCATTTCGAGTAGATGCTGCTTAGGCCCGATGCCGGAGAGCA